GACACATTGCAGCTTTTTAATTACCACTTGCCCCAGCTACTGCAATCACATACCCATAAAGGAATCCCAGCATAAATTGTTTTTTGCTAATAAATATCAGTCAGGGATAAATAATGGACCTGAGCTCTTTCACCTTTTTATTAATCCATGATATCTGCTGTAAAAGTCTTGATGAAGGGAGCTCTAGCCTTGCAAGCAATGAGGTGCAAAGAAATGCACATTAGGTTTCTGGATCTGCTGGGATTAAATCTTCCAGCAATGACAGTACAAGCGGGGAGACATGAAATACAGAACATGCCTCATTGCCAACTAGCGCAGTATTCATAAACATTTTTTTTCTTAATTTATTAGTTTTGCAAGGTTCACTTAGGTACTATCCAAATCCAAATCCTGAAAGGTATTTATCTTAGTAGGAAATGGGGACTACCTTAGGGTTGCTGTGGGGAGGAGAGGAGCTGGATTACAACTCCAGCACCTGGTTCTGGAATTTGAGTGGGGTGGTCTTTTTGCATTGGCAAATCTATGCATGGGATTGATTAAACTTTAATTGTGTGATTTGAAGAGAACCCTCACCATCCCAAGTCTTAATAGAAAACTGAATTATTTGCTCAGCTAGTATCAGTCCGAGGAAAAGGATCGTTTACCTTTTGGCCAATATGAAAATACAGGCATCTAGTAAGTGGAAATATTTGTGGGAAAAGAAGCCAGGCTGTACCTGAGAGCTTGTTGTGGTTTGACCCGGCTGGCAGCTAAACACCACACAGCTGTTCGCTCACCCTCCCCCCTCCCTCTCTGGGATGGGGGAGAGAAATGGGAAAGTGAAGCCTGTGAGTTGAGATAGACAGTTTATTAAGACAGGAAAATAATAATAACAATAATAATAATAACAATAATGATGATAATAGTACTACTAATAATAATATGTACAAAACAAGTGATGCGCAATGCAATTTCTCACCACCCACTGACCGATGCCGAGCCTAACCCTGAGCAGTCCGACCCTCCTTGCCCTGGCTAGCCACCCCTATCTGTTGTTTAGCATGACGTCAGATGGTATTAGAGTACATTGTGCACCGGTTTCTACTAAAGCCTTATACTTCTGTGTGTCTGACGTGCCAGGCCATCAAATCCACACAGTCTAATAAACTCAATTGCCCTTTCCTCCCCCTGGCTGGAGGCAGGGCCCCTCTAATCCTGGTCAGAATCTTCTTCGTTTCTGTGTTTGGAGGACTGCCTGCTGGAAGTTGGAGCAGCAAATTTTTCAGAGAATCCCTTTTTCCTGATTGTTTTCTTTTGCAACTCACGTACCCATGCCTCTAGGATCACGGTAGATTTTCCATCCCATTTTCTCATGTCCTCTCCATGGTCCCTTAGGTAAAACCACAGGGTGGCACAGGGTGTGTACCCACCATATCATCTTCCTTATATGGATGAATGCTTACCCCTGATAGCTGAGACACTGGTTTGTTCAAGTGGGGAGGAAGATAGATTCTCTTTAAGTTGGTGGAACTCTTCAGAAAGTTTCTCCTCAGCTGAGACACAGGCCTCGGCTGCAGGAACCAGAGCGACTGCAGGAGCTGGAACTGCAGCGGCTGTAGGAACTGGAACCAGGACAAAGCTGCGCGGCAAAAGCTTTTATGCTCATCTGTGAGGCAGTTAATAATGAGCATCAGAGGATTTCCATGTTTTGGAGCATGCCAGGTTGCTCCTATTATTAACTTTGGTATTTTAAGTCCCTATACATTCTGTGATGCCTCCTTTCCACACACACACCCCCCCCCCCCTTGACCCCACTGCCTTACTGAACAAACTGGGAACTAGTTTGGGGTTAAGTTTACTAAGCAGGTATTACATAAAAATGCAGTTTGAAGTCCAGAAGCAGAATATCCCAGGACATACACTTCGCCTGAAGTCCAGATTTTACAGACACATTTCTTTTTCACATTTAGAATAATACCTTAGCCCTCTGAACTGAAGGGATCTGAAGGCAACCATGAAGTTTACCCATGGTATATATGGAAAGACTGCATCACTGAATTAGTAATGTCTCCATGCTCCAACTACATGACAAGACAGTATAGTACCCAAGATATGAATAAGGACTAAAAAACTTAATGGTGTTTTTCAGAATAACAAAAATAATAGAAGCATAAAATAGTAATTATAACCTGTTTTTATAAAGTGATTTACAAAGGATTTCCTTTAACTCTTAAATCTTTAGCAGATGCATTATTCCCGCTACTCATATTTTGTTCTGACATTTATATTCCACCCTCATCCCAAGGAGTTGTGCAAGCTTTCCTTTTTAGTCCTTTGAAGTTTTTACCTTTCCTCAACACTCAGCAAATTAGACTGCATGGGGGGTATCTTTTAAAGCTGCTAAAGTAACAGAGGGTTAAATATTTTGTAATCCTTCTCCTCGTCCTTTTGCTTTCCCTTTTTCTTCACTTCTGCAGAAACACCTTGAAAGCTCTGTCTTGATGAGGATATAATTATGCCACAGTCTAGAGACAGTCACGGCTCATGGCATTTTTGACTTGCAGTAGAGGACTTTGGTCCTCCAAGCAGCACGTTCTCCTCCTGTCTCATCCTAGGAACAACCTTGAAATTCTTTAAATCCAGAATTAGAATTCTGAACTTGCTCCAGAGTGGTTCAAAAATCGTGTATATGAAATACGTGTAGCTGTTTCCTGTCAGGCTTCTAAAATCCCTAGCAGTTAAACATATTTTTTTAAGTCTTTATTTGCTATCAAGCACCTGAATCCTTTATATTTTACAAGCTAATGAGTGAGTTTTTGAGAAGAAAATGTAGCTGTTAGGAATATTAACTGAAGTTACGCTTAATGGAGAAGTGTGGTGTGTGTGTAAAAATCCCACTTTAATGCCTAATCTTGGAGAAAGTCCCAGAAGAGATTGATTCAATTTCCATTCAGTATGAGAGCAAAACTTAAAATTACTCTGATGTATAGACACTTGCTATTCCCAGCATCTTTCAGGCAGCAGAGATTAGTGATGTGTGGCAAGACCTATGATGACTAGTAACAAAGAGCCTTAAAATGATGGTACAGTGTGTATTAATGGAAAAGCTTAAGGATTGGGTCTGTGTTACATTAAGGGCTCTACAGTCAACAGCTTTCATTAACAGGTCACCAAACCACAGATCAGAAATCTACAGTTGCTCACCCTTTTCATGTAAAAGGATACTTAGAAAAAAAATCTCTAAATTATCATTCCTGATTTGTGTTGCCTTGGGAACTAAAGCACAAGTTTTGAATAAAAATTTGTAACTTACAATGTGTTTTCAATCAACACTTAAGGGAAACTAGAACACTTCCACAAAGGGACAAAACCCAAACCTTTTGAAAATTCTTTTGAAATTCATCTTGCAGTATTATAAAATCACGACCATGTGGAGGAACTCACCATGAATTAATACCTGTAGCCAGCCACAGAAAAACATCTAAGGTTTAGATAACACCTGTCCTTCCTGAGCATCAGTTCAGTGAACTGAATACTTGCCATTGATAGATTTGAAAGCAGAACATTTAGGAAGAGCAGAAATACACAGCAAAATAATGACAATGCCAAATCATTTGCAGAATGAGTAGCAGTATTTACTGAACTAAATCACAAGGAAGCAGGAGGTATTTGCACTAAGGTTTCAGCTGGAGTATCTTACTTCTACTTGAACTTCCTTAAACATTTAAAAGATGTGAAGATATATGGGCTTAAAATTGTTTCATTGCTAACAATCTCAGCTCTGTTAAGGATGGTTCACGTATTATAGCGGATTCAGAAACCCATCTTGTATCAGATAACTTAGCTGCTTCAGGCTCCACTTTTTCTTCTACTGTGAGATGTGACTGTTCTGAAAGGCTCAGTGCCACACTGGTGGGGAAATAAAAATTGTCCAATATATTTTCTATCCAGCATGAAGAATAAAAATATGCCCAAAGAAATTTAAATATTTTACAGTCATATATTTGTTTTAGAACTTTAAAAATAAAGAATCAAATATTCTCTAACATTCAAATTAAATACTTGAACTGAAACAGTTCAATACAAGTATTTCATCATTTTATATATGTGTGTGCGCATGTGTACTTATCAATTTTATTTTATTTTATTTTTTTTTTTTTTTTAAGAATTCAAGACTAAATAAACCTGGGAACATGAGAGTCTCTGGAAAAGAAAAAAAAATAGTGTGCTCTAATAAGGAGAATGGATGTCTTATATTGGACTGTATGTGTGAAATATGAAATCATCTGTTAAAATAGAGGAAACCTTTTTGATATTGGTTAGGATGGAAGTTAGCTGTTTAAACCTGACAAGAAGCTACCTGAAATTCACAAGAAAGCATCATACAGCTGTTCCAGAATCAGCACATTATACAAACACTGTGGGTTTGTTGTTTTTATCAGGTGTTGTTTTGAGAGATGGGGGAAAGGGAGAAAAAGATGGTATTTTATTATTCATAGAATAAATATATTTTAATTGTCTATTGAATAAACTGAATTTGTTGTTAAAAAAAAAAAAAAAATGTCAGCCTTGAGTTAAGTGTAACAAAGGCTTTCCAAGAAAATGAATACCTCAAGTTCAGTATTTAGATTTGTCCTTGAAGAGCTGGGGACACTGCACTTCTACATGAATGGCCTTAGGCAACAAAGACTAAAATAAAAGATGTGAAGGGCGGGTGAGGTAGTAGTACTTTATATATATATATATATATATAATTTTTTATTTTTTAGCTTTTCCACTTTGCAGTTCAGAGTCATTTTCATTAATGACTTGAAAAGTCATTATTATTTGCAGATTGGACAATGTTGATCCAGAAGGTAAAACACTTAATTTCCAAATAGTACATAGCTGATCCTGAAGAATGCCAAGAGAAAAGGACAAGAAAAGCCTCAGGATTTTAGCATAGCAAAATGTCATGGTATGCTTTCCCCAAAAACACATGCAACATTAATCATGTATGACTGAAATAATTTTCCTGTTTCTAATTTATAAAGCTTTAATAATTAAAGGAATAAATTATTCCATATGGAGATCAACCTATGGACTGTGTATATTAAAACCAGCTAACAGCATAATTGAAAACATACATGTACCTTCATTTCCATTCATGCGTCACAGTGCATTATCTTCCTTGTCAAAGAACCTCAATCATAGCTTCATTGACTAATTATACATAACTGTGTACACATGTACATTGTTAGGAGTTTTCAGGTGTTGACATTTAGTGAAGAATGTGTGTTCCTTCATCAATTAAATTTACTTTTCAAACTAATTTTTCACTTTGGCTGTTTCATAGATACTTTCTTCAGTGGCACAGTCTTGACAAGTCTTTAGCAAAAGATTTTGAATTTCTAATAAGCATTATAATAATTGTTGTAGTTAAGGGCTGGAACAGATCTTGCATCATTGAACAAAACCTTGGGAGTCCAGCTAATTCCCTTCTTCTGATTCCATCCTGTCAAAAATGTAAAGTATGGAGAGGGGTTAGCCGTAGGAGGAGACATCACTGTAGTTGTGTGTAATTTACAAGAATGCCAGGACACTTTACAGATGGTATTTACCTCCATGCTAATTTATTTTGAGTGATGAAACACTTGTCCTGTCTGTTAGTGCCACACAAAATTAATTGTTAGTATTACTTGACTAAAGCAAAATAGACTGCAGAAAGGCAGAGTGTGTTACAGAAGCCTAGTGGGATTTTCAAGAGGCTCTGAAGCCACACAGAATTGCAGCAGTTTCAGTTAAGCTGCCATTTATAAGGGGCTAGTGAGCAGTGTATAATTATTAATATTAATAAAAAGTTTCCAGAGAAATCGGGGAACTAGATTTAGTGAGTTTGCATTCCAGCATATACGGATATTATGAACATGTTACAGACATAGTCAGGATTCATTCATGAATAGTCACATCAGCAACCCAAAAACAAGAGCTTTAATCAATACTTAATTTAAAAAAATCCAAATACAACCCTTTAATTATCCTTTAATAACTCAAACTTTAAATACAAGCAGATAAAAATACAAGCAGATCTCCTTGCCGAGGCTATCTGCTCCGGGGCAGATGCGTTCTGCAGCGGAACGGCGGATCGGACAGGCAGGGCTAATTTTTCCACCACCGAGCCCACTCGAGGAAGCCGCCAAGACCCGGCAGCCCTCGCGAGGGAGGCGAATGAGGCGAGAACGAGGCGTATGCGGAGCCAGCAGCGTCCCCTCCCCGGCCGTTCACAAGCTGCCCCTAGGGAGCGCGGCGACCAGCACGAGCAAACAGGGTGTGGCACGTCAGAAGGGAGGGGCGCGGCAGTTAGCGCGGAGGTTCGCGCAGGCAGGGCGAGCAGGAAGGGCGAGTAATCCCCCCGCCCATACGAACACCTCCTCTCACGGCGGTCTGCTGCTAGCTCAGCTGCAATGGTGTACACTGTAATACACAATAAATGTTTGTTCATTGTCTTTTGTATTATAAAAACAAGGAGTTCTGTTTGAGGAGCGGGAGTTGCAAAAGCTTCCTGCTGAAGTAAGGAGCTGTATAATACTTGGCTAGAAACTATGAAAATTCTTAATGTAACAAAAAAGACAACCCCCTCCCCTTCTCTCCTTCTGCATCTCAGTTGCCTCTTTTGTTCAAAGACAGTGCTGCAAAGCTCATGTAACCATCTCCTGATAAGTTGCTAAACTAGTGTATCAACATCCTGCCTTCGTGTCTCATGCTGGGCCAACATGACCAAATAAAAAAAGAAGTTGAACCACAACGCAGAGGAAGACTATGGCCTTCATCTTCACGACCACCAGAGGGACAGAGACGACCCCCTAGCAACAGTGCGCGCAGTCGCAGAATATACCAGGATGTGCTGCGTAATCCCGGAGTTACCAAAATATAAAAAGGGACCCTGGCAGGGGTGAGGTGCGCACCATTGGCAGAGCTGAGACTCCCCGGCTGCCCAGCGCTGTTTTGCTTGCTGTTGCTTACTCAATAAATTCCTTTCTATTATTAATGCAATGCTCTCTGAAAATTAATTAAGGGGGCAATTTATAAAAAATTTTGTGCTGTGTCTCGGATGAAGGCAATCTGATTGAAAGACCTTTGGAGGGGGCGCCCCGCTGATTTCAGCGGCCTTTGCTAGGACTACTTTCATTCAAATCCTTCACCGACGAATCCTAAATTCGGCAGCAAGCAAATAAAGCCAGCAACCCCTAGTAATCTTTGTGCACGAAGACCGAACGAAGACTCAGGAGTGAGTAAGTATAGGCCGGTGATCTGTTTGGTTGGGGTTGGGTATCCTGGAGCATGTCGCTGTGAGACGTCCAGCAGGACGAAGCGAGTGTGGACCACTCGGTAGTGCAGTTCCCACATCCCGCGAGGGACTGGGCCACGAAAAGGGGGAAGCAATTCGTGCGTGTGTGTGTGCGTGAAGGCGCTCTGGAAGATGGGACAGAAGAGTAAGCCTTCTGGTCCCATGGGTGGGGTAACGTCTGATGTTAGGTTACCCCAGGATTAATGATTAAAAATTGGGAGGATTCCCCTTTTAGGCGGGGAAGGAATAAAGTAAAAATGATACATTATTGTGTTGAAGTTTGGGGTGGTAAACAGATTTGAGGAGACCACCTTTACTGGCCCGTGTTTGGGTCCTTTGAAGATTGGGTTTGCCAGGCCCTAAATATTTATGTAAACTCAAAGGAACCTTTTAGTTTGGAAAAAAGTGAATATGCACATTTGTGGATCAGCTCGGAAACTCGAGCCAATTTATACCCTCTAAAAGAAAAAGGAGGGGATGGGAGGTGCAAGAAAAACCGAGAATTAGAGATCCCAGCCCCACTGCCTCCCTATATTCCACCACCCCCACCTGCAGCCCCTCCGACTCCTGGGCTTTGTAATCCGCAACCCCAGGGAGACTCTGATAGCGACTCTGACTCTAGCGCTCAGGGACCAGTGACTAGGAATATGTGGCCGTCCCCATTAACTCCGGGGACGTCCGAGATTTTAAGAAAGAGACAGGAGGAGGGTAAGCTAGCTTTAATGGCAACTGGCATAATGTTTGCAGCTGCTGAGGAATAATTCTAACTGGAATAATAACTGTACATTGTATATTGTATATATAAAAGCCCGGACATTTTTGTTAAAGTGTTCTTTTATACATATGTTAATATGTAAATATGAAAATATAAGAACTGCCATTGAGGTGTATGTCTAAGGGAACAAAATTTGCCCAGGAAAACGGTGGAATATTAACCACTGTAGATTACAATAGGAAAAGTTCAAAGCAAAGAAATCCCGAGGAAAAGCCTCCTAGAATGTATACTAACACATTGGAGGGATATAGTGGGGTGAAAGGGTACAGAAAGTAAAAGAACCCTTATCAAATATTGTAATCAGTGGTGGCCACTTCATAAACTAGAGGATGGAGAGGAGTGGCCCCTAAATGGAACTATTAATTATAACACCATATTACAGTCAATGTTGTTTTTGTGGAGAGAAGGAAAACAGGATGAAATGTTGTATATTGATGTTGTTTCAGCATCTTGGAGGGAAAAGGTACGGAATTAAGTTGGCCCCTGACTGAGCCTTTGATATGGGCATTAGAAAAGAAAAGGCTAGAGAAAGATAAAGGAAGTGTTAAAAGGTTTGTTGATTCTGCCTCAGCCCGAGGCTGAGATCCTAAAATTAGGGATGTTAGCCCTCGGGGGCAAAGGGATCATGATGGTCCGAGAGAGAGTTGTTATAGAAACAGAAAAGCAGCTAACTCTTAAAACAACCTGAGTTCATGTGTGAGCTCAGATTGCTGGTGGGACCGCTCAGGGAACTGCAGACAATTGCATTCCCCTGACCGACCCAACTGAGACCCTAATCACCCCGAAAATTATGATCGGTTAAGTAAATACTAAAATCTGGTTGAATTGGGAATTGAGAATATTATTCCGAGATACGGAATTATAGATACACTTGACTCTGACCGAGGGCCCCATTTTGTCTCCAAAGTGTCTCAAGACACTACGAAAGCTCTAGGAACAAGTTGGGAATACCACACTCCGTGGCATCCCCAAAGTGCTGGAAAGGTAGAGTGAAAGAATGGTGAAATTAAGAAACAACTAACAAAACTTATGCTGGAAACTAAGGCTTCTTGGGTAAAATGTTTACCTCTTGCAACTGTTAAACATATGGACACAGCCCAGAACTGATGTAGGAATTTCTCCTTTTGAAATGCTATATGGTATGCCCTATGACTTGGAATTGCCACTTGATCACCCTCAATTCTAATTAAGACTTGGAAAGAGACTTCTTTAACACCACGAGGGGGAAGGTCCCTATGTTGTTTTGCTTACCACAGAAACGGCTATTCGAACTGCGGAGAAAGGATGGACGCATGCCAGCCATGTGAAAGGACCAATCCGGGAAGGTAAATGGGAGGCAGCTCCAGGCCCTGACGACTTGAAGCTGACACTAAGACGGACTCGATAAGTATTTTATATTATCTGTGTATCGTGGGAAGGGGAGGAGGCCCTGTTTCAAAGGCTCCCTAGTAGGTTCCCCTGAAGAACACTGCTGCTGCCAAGAAGAACCGATACCTTGTAGTTCGCTGCAACCGAACTGACAAGCGAGGCAGAGAAATGAAAACGGTGGGGGACTGAGGGGCCGACAATTTAAAAACACCCTGGAGAGATGGGCTCCGACCACCTCCTACAATACATGGGAGTCAGTATCATCGTTTTGGTCAGCTATGGGTCTGTGCATCCCCACCAGCCTTTTAAATGGAGCTTAATCAGATGGAAGGATCAATTCGTCATCCAGCAAACGACAGCGGGTGCTCCCAGTTTCCGCATCACATTATGTGAACTGGTGTCAGTGCAGCCATGCTTTAACCGATTGGGTTTTTATTTCTGCCCAAGTTCTAACCCGGGAAAGGGGTACTGTAATTACCCGAACATGTATTATTGTGCATACCAGGGGTGTGAAACCATTGCTACGGACTGGACACTCGGGGCTGGTCGGAATAAATTCTTACAAGTGGGATATGGGTTGCAAGGTTGTAACTGACAAGTGGATCCCCGTTACAGGTGGCAAGGGCATGGTATAGGGTATACAGGAACCTTCCACAGAAATAAAGAAATTTGCAAGGTTCTATATATAAATATAACAAACTTGGACGATACTAGCTGGGTACTAGGAAAAATGTCAGATTTTACAAACACAGAACAGATAGGGGAGGACTCATACTAATAAAAAGGAGGATGCTGATAGGCCCCAGGCAGTAGGACCAAATGAGGTATTGTCAGAAAGTGTCCAGGGAATCCAGCCTGCGGAAAATACTACACTTCCAACCCTCGGCAGCCCTACGAGCTCAGGTAAAGCTGAGAATGGTAACTGAGAATAACATATGGGGGGGGTCATGAATGCCAGCTACCAATTATTAAACAAAACAAACCCAAATGTAACAAAACATTGTTGATTATGCTTTAGTATAAGGCCTTCATATTATGATGCTATCGGGGATCCTGGGGAGCCCACCCGCACAAACGAGAACAACCCTCTACAATGCAGTTGGGGAAAAGACATAAGGGTAACACTAACACAAGTCACTGAAGGTGGTAGGTGTGTGTGCACGGTTCCTAGTGGGAAGTGTCACCTATGTAATATCATGGAGAATGGAAAACAATCAGCCGAGTGGCTAATCCCAGCCAACAACACTAGGTGGGTTTGTTCGTGAGTGGGCATAACTCCTTGTCTATCACTAAAACTCTTTAATGCGTCTCGTGATTTTTGTATACAGGTGATAATTATACCAAGGATTCTATACCACCCTGAGGATTATATGTACACCCAGACACAGTGGAAAGTCATCATCTGGAAAGACAGGAACCATTCACGGCTCTAACTTTGGCCACCCTAATAATCCTGGGAGGAGCTAGAGTGGGGACCAGGGTAGCCTCATTGGTTAAACAAAATCAAAAATTTACTTCCTTACGCATTGCTGTGGATGAGGACCTGACCCAAATTGAACAATCCATCTTGGCCCTGGAAAATCTATCAGGTCGCTTTCAGAGGTAGTGTTAAAAATCGTATGGGATTAGATTTTTTTTTTTTTTTTTTACGACAGGGCAGGCTGTGTGCAGCCCTGAAAGAGGAATGCTGTGTGTATGCTGATCACGCTGGAGTGGTAAGAGATACAATGGCAAGACCCAGGGAAGTGTTGAAAAAAAAAAAAAAGGAAACGGAAGAATGAAGCCTGACAGAGCTGGTACGAATCTTGGTTTAATTATTCACCTTGGCTTACTACTTTATTATCAACAATAACAGGACCTTTGTTGTTATTAATGATAGCACTAACTTTTGGACCATGTATTTTTAATAAATTGATTGCTGACAAAACTTGTGAAATGTCAGCGCTTGTTCTTGAGGGGGACTTCAACTTCGCAGATATATCC